CCGCCACGACATAGGCCACTGCGCCGTACGCTAACGGACTTGCATAGCTAAAAACGTTCACTTCCATTTCATGGGGCAGCTTCACTCTGTTTCTGTTGACGTAGCGCGGAACCTTAATCGACTGAAGCTTAGTTAGCTGGTTCACCCAATATTGCCATTCTTCTAAAAAATCTTTAGGCAAGCAATCGTCCCAGTTGATTCCACTTGTCCAGATTTTTTTAAACAATATTCGTATGAACACCATGTATAGCGCGACGAATCCCATCGGGTCGAACACTCTTGACGCTGCTTGTAGGACAAACCTTTCAGTGTCTTTTTTTTTGCTTTAAAAAGACAAGCAGATTGGCCACTGAGAAGGTGAATTCGTCGCTCTGGGGTCTCCACGAAATTCCCAGTACTTTAACTGAAGCTCCGTGAAGTAAAATCATTTCTTGGCTGGTTGATCGATTTTCGCCTTTCGATAGGTTCATAAGCTTCGCGGAGTTAGTCGTCTATTTTCGGAGATTCATGCCTGCTGAGAGCATGAGCTGTCGCGCCTCTTTACAAAACTCGGCAGCTTCGTCTTCTGTATCAGCTACTGTCACTAAGTCGTCCACGTAGAACTATTCGCTCAATGTCCTGGCAGTCAAGCCCATACTCGGTGGTGTTGTTCAAACATGATGAAGAATGATTGCTGTCAGCAGAAATGGGCTGCAGGTCGCTCCAAAAGGTGCTCTGGTCATTCTTCATTCCTGCGGTTGCTTCTGTTGAAAATCGGCAACACCGCCTTTTTTCGAATCAGAGAAACCGAAAGGCATCTCGGTCATTTTATTTTATCGAAATCTGAAGAAAAGCCTTCTTGATACCCACTATTACGGCGATGGGGTGCGTTTTGAAGCGTAGCAATATCCTTACGAGGTTTTGGTACAAGTTGTCCCCTTTCTCTAATCACTCGTTGAGAGAATTGCATCCTCATTCCCTCGACGATGCGTCCAAGACGACTCGCACCCTTGTTGTCAAAGCCTGTTCTCGGATAACTTCTTTGTGTGGCATGCATGTAGTAAACCTTTACCGGATGTGTAGGTGGGTCCTTCACTACTTCTGCATGCCCTGATAGCAGATAATCACGTATTGTGGCGTCGTAAGTTGCAGAAGCCCCTCTCTGCTAGATAAGCGGATAAAAAGTTTCCTCCGTCTAGGTAGTAGCGACTTCCTTGTTGTCACGTAGTTCCAACCCAGTTTTTCGTGCACGGCAATGACACTTCGTATCTGCCTCCCCGAAGCGCTATTGTTTCCTCGAAGTGTTGCATAGTTGAGCTCATCTCGATCTCCTTGTTTGCGGGATCAGATACACCGATACTCTCTAGTTCCCAAAATGATCAGATTAGTTCTTCATCAACATCTACTTGAGTCTTCAGCACGCATACCATGACTCGGGGGTCAACTGCCTTTGACGACGAGTGTTCTGTGCTCCCTTGAAAAGCCCATCCGAACTTCGAGTTCATGGCAATGAGTTTTTCTTCGCTTTCCGGTGTGTGTATTTCACCTGTCATCACCGCCCACATCTGGTCCGAGCAAATCAGCACACTTATTTCGTTATCCTTCTCAATGGAAGAGGGGAGCATCTCGTTGGCAATATCATGTCTGGTTTTCTTGAAAGATGCGACGAACACCGAAGTCATCGTGCTGTCTGATATGTCTTGGCAAATGTGGGGTATCTCGATGGCTTTCAGTGTCACTTCCATGTAGGAGTGCTGACTTCTGAGGTGAAGCTCTACGATGCGAAGTATTTTCGGTGTGCAACTGCTGACGTTGGCAAACGTGTTGATTGCAATAGTAGCAAAGCCAAGACACTTTAACTTCAACCGCCTTGAAAGCTCAAATGTGCATTCACTTCCTCCGTCAAACACGCCTCTGATGTAGCGACACGAATAATCGGTTACAGCCCATGCGCGAAAAGTTCGTAGGAGCACGCACGTCAAAGTGTCACCCCGTGCGCTGTGCTTGGTGGTAGCTGCACATACGGTCGTACAACCGCCTCTGACGTCTTCACGCACTCGTCGGTTCAGCTTTTCTGGATCGCACATACTTGACGCCTGACGACCTCTGCATCCCGAGCATGAGATCCTACGCCTGCAATACCTTGCTCGGTGACCTTTTGTAATGCAGCGAAAGCACCTCATGTCGCTGGAGAGAAGCTTTTTTTTCTCTGATAGTGGCAGGTCACTGCGGCAAGAGTCCGTGAAGTGCTGTGTAGACTTGCAGTATACAGCCTCTCTCTGAAAGTAGCTTTGGAGCTTAATTATGAAGAACCGAGGACGTTGGGGTCGCGTTGTTGAAGCGGCAACCTTTATCTCTGGAATAGGCCATTTCATCGCATCCTTTCTGTTCCCCAAAATCACTTTTCTCGGGGCTTTCCGGTTTGATACAGACAAAGTCAAGGAGACGCTCAAGTTCTGTGGCATGCTGAACGTTGTTGGCACTTTCATGTTGGGTGGCGCAGGATCGATGATATGCTACGACGATGTCATGCAGCAAAGGCCCCAGCAAAACGTACGTCGCATGACATCGATGAAAAAGACGCTTTGCTAACGCCAAGCGCCTCAAGACTCCTCGTATTAATGAGCACTTGATCGTAGAGCTTGCGGAGTTGTACCACTACCTTAGAAGAGCGTACAGGAGTGAGCCTTCACAGCCTCTAAAAGTACTCTTGTTCTAAGCGCTTCTTGTCAGCGAAGCGTCGTTTCAACAATGCCAACGCGTCTTCGTAACGTGCTTCGGTAGTAGGAAGCCCCGCTATTGTATTCGCCGCGTCGACTTTCAAGAAGAGCGTGAGATAATTAAACTGTTCTGTCGAGCTGTCATTTCCGTTCTTGTTGATGAGCTGATCGATTTGCTTCCAAAACGCGTTCCACGTGCACAAGTCACCGGCGAAAGGTATAGTTGTCAACTTTGGCAACTTGGCTCCAGGCCTTTCAGCTGGTCCAATAGCCGCACGCACGTCGTGAACTTCGACGAGTGGTGAAACCACAGAAGTATCGCTGTGCCATCGGCATTTACTCTGAAGCTCGGCTACATGCGGATTAGCCGAGCTACATGTGGTCAGCTGTTAGGTATGCTTCCGTGGTTCGTTGCTGTTGTTCCCGTGGGTAGCCACCAGCAATGTCCCTTGATGGTAGCTCCCGGCTGTCACCTCCCTGGTTGAACGGCACCAAATTGTAAAATATGTGGCCAACTGAACAGCCGACACAGACTTAAAAGCTCAAACCGACACTTTTTGCATCTGCATTAGCCCAGAACGTAAAAAGAAGGATGACTCGTCGTCTTCTTTGAACGAGCTCACTAGCTCGCTCGCCTGCAGTTTATTCTTCTTATTATTATGCGATGAGTGCGGGAAATTCAACATCTATCGAAAACTCTGTAAGGTCCTCACGAAGGCGGAGGATTGAAGGTAGGTAAGTAAGCAACTTTATTGATTCACGAAGGAATCATTTGAGGGAGGGTGTGGCAGGGGAAGTGGAAGCAGGATGACGACGGGCTCTCGGGCCGCTCTAAGTGGCCGGACACTGCTGTGCTTCGGCGACACTTCTGGCCAAGCTCACTGTTCGGAGCTGAAACCGCGGTTGCGAGATGCGCAGAGCAGCCTCCATCGCTCCTGGTGTTCTGACCCTTGACACTGGAGCTTAGGTTTGTTCGGACAATTCAGAAATATGTGATGAAAGTCGACTCTGGTACCAGGACATAACAATAGGATGGAAAGGTGGGTAGTTGGTAATTCATGATGGTTCAGCGAACTGGGAGCGCGGGGGTAAACACAGACACAAAGCAAAGAGGAGGCACACAGAACGAGTGCTTACTAGGATAAGTTGTTTAAAGCCGTTTCGCTATGTGTAAAAATAGAGAAAAGGAAAGGAATCGTCACTGTGGCCGTTTGAAGTCTGCGCCACAAAGCCTGGTCACTTCTGGGAAGCGATTTATGTGGTGGGGGATACGTTAGGCGGGAATATTGGTAAAATAGCGTGACATCGTGATAGCTGAGGAGTAGATCCCTGGCACCTCGAAGCGAGGGCAGGTCGTTGTGATTCCGGTTGGCGAGTGCTTGGGCTTGGGTGTGAGCGGCACTGTTGCGCCTGGGTGTCCGCAGTGCGCAAGGACCCAGAGGATGGTGATGAGGCGATCACGCGGAGGAGATGATTCAAGAATTTTAGCAGCCGGAGAATGAATTTAGAAAATGGCGAAATTACGAATTGCAATTTTTGAATCGGAAAAAATATACTCAGCGGAGGAGTGAACAATGGCTAAGGCAATTGCCGCCTCTTCTCCTTCCAGGGATTAAGTCGAATTTGGAAGAGACGCACAAGCGACCGGTTTTTGAAATCAGTCTACAACGGCAATCGCGAAAGCTCGATGAATCCTCCTTCACCTTTACACCAAAACATTGTTGTGCCTGGCAATCCTAAACCACTTCAACCCCGGTTTTACGGGCCCGCACTGCGAGGAAAATTACTCTAATATTTTCCATGTGGTGTGCGTGGGCATGCCAAAAAAACCCTAAACCTAACCCCTATACCCCACCCTATCCGGGAGGACTAGGAGGCAGCCGTGCTCGGCTGCTCTGACCCGACGGCCCAACGGGTCTTGGTTGAGCGAGCCAGGGCCACGGCCGACGCCAATGGGATCCCGTAATAGGAAGCCCTCCTAGTTTTTGTACGGGGTGGCCCCTTAAGGACTGCTCCCCATCTTCCTTGAACATAACTTCCATAAATAAATGTTTGTTTCACCACCACGCGTGTTCTTGTAGTCATTTTTATCAGTGCTCTACACAAAAATGATGACGTATGGTGTAGGGGGTACTCTCTGCAAGTGCGCTTAAAGCAGTTACACCGAGTGCTCAAAATAGGCTTCGCTGCGACATGTGCTGCACGTTGCACACAGGCCAGGCGCTTTTTCTGTGCATGACTTCAATGCAATTTTTTCGATGAGATGTACAAAGGTCACTTTCTTTTGTTGCAATCCCACAGAGTACACAGATGAAAACTTTGCCGGTAAGTTCATAACTAGCTAAAATCGTAGTCTTGATTATGAAGACCGCTGCGCTGTGAACTTGGCTTAGTGTTTCTGCTCTTGCAGTCAGCCCCATAACGGTGCCTTACGAGAAGCAGCGTAAGTATATTGGTTTGTATGTGGTACAATGACTGCGTGATGGCAAACAGCTAATTGTACTCGAGCTCTAAGAAGAAAGTTTATAGGGAGTTACCTATAAAACATAAGAACATCCCCATTTGGTCAGGGCTGAAACAATTCACCCGTAGCCAGGGCGTGGTACACCAGGCCCGTGTCCCCCCCCCCCCCTCCGAGAAAATTTAGGAGCCAAGCTTCTCATAGTCTAAGCTTGTCTTGCGTCAGGCTTAACCAGCAGTACCTCCCAAGCAGTATACTAGATGGCGCAGTATACTAACTGGCGGAACATGGGAGAGGCCTTTGTCCTGCAGTGGACGTAGTCAGGCTGCTGCTGCTGCTGCTGATGATGATGATGATGATGCTGATGATGATGAAGAACCCCTGCTGATCGAAATTGCCGAAGTCCCCCACAGACTATGGAGTCCTCTCATAATCATATGGTGGTTTTGGGACGTCAAACCCCCCTTAATCAATTAATCGGGATATTCTAGATGGTGCTGTACCCCTCTCTCCGAAATACGAAGGGGTAGACACAGTATGCAGTGCGCGTAGAGAGGAGGAGGAAACTTGATAATGTTCTGTAAATAGCTTCGCCCTAGAGTTCACGATGATGGCGCAGATTTTTTCAAAGCACTGGCGTTTAGGGACAGTGAGGGAGACATTAAGCGGCTAGAAATAACTAGAAGGAGGTTATGTGATTGGTGGCTGCAATCAAGGCACGAGGCCCCACCGCGGTGGTCTAGTGGCTACTCGGCTGCTGACTCGCAGGTCGCGGGTTCGAATCCCGGCTGCGCAGGCTGCATTTCTGATGGAGGCGGAAAAGTTGTAGGCCCGTGTGCTCAGATTTGGATGCACGTTAAAGAACCCCAGGAAGTCGAAATTTCAGGAGCCCACCACTACGGCGTCTCTCATAATCATATGGTGGTTTCGGGACGTTAAACCCCACATATCAATGAATCAAGGCACGAGTGAAAATTAAATCTTTCACTAGAAAGTGTCAGTGCTTAACTTCACCATTTAAAGAAAAACACATAAACCTAGTTTTTGTTCACTAAGTATTACAGCTAGGTGGCGTTAGCCGCCGCCCGATCTACAGGGTACAGCTTTATCGATCCATCCATTTGTGGGCATGGTATGAACAGTTCCCTCATTACCGCAGATGGACATCTGCAGTAATGAGGGAGCTGCTCATACTATATCCACAAATTGATGGACAGCGGTAATGCAGCGATCATGACTTTTAATGAGAATGAAGGTAGTGTGCTTAGGATACAGGAGGTTATGCTAGAGATAACATATAAATACAAATATCTGGGCGTATGGATAAGCAATGGGACCGAGTACTTAAGGGAACACAAAATATACGTAACGACCAAAGGTGCAGGAATGCAGCGGTGATGAAAAATGGGGCGCTGTGGAATTACAATAGGTATGATGTGAGAGGAATTTGGAAAGGGGTCATGGTTCCCGGTCTGACGTTCGGCAATGCGGTTTTGTGCATGAGATCAGAAGTTCAAGCAAGATTAGAATTTAAACAGCGTGAAATGGGTAGGCTTGCTTTAGGAGCTCATGGGAATACACCAAATTATGGAGTACAAGGTGACAGGGGATGGACATCATTCGAGGGCAGGGAAGCTTGCAGCAAGATAAAATTTGAGAAGCGATTGAGAGAAATGATGGAGGAGCGTTAGGCTAGGAAGGTTTTCAGCTACTTGTACATGAGGGATGTTGATACAAAATGGAGGAAGCGAACCAGGAAATTGATGGGTAAATACTTAGAAAACAGCAGGGGCCAAACCAAAAAGAACTATCGGTTAAGAAGAAGGAAATGGAGACCGACGTGTGGAGAATAGACATGGTTAAGAAGTCGGCACTGGAGATATATCGAACATTTATGCAGGCAATCGCTCAGGAAAGTATCTATGATAATACTCGGGGTAGTTCTGTACGGTTTGAGGCCAGGACCAGAGTCTTGCGAACCAAGACTTGTCGGGCCGAATACGAAGGGGTGGACACGGTATGCAGTGGGTGCGGAGAGGAAGAGGAAACTGCTGAACACTTGATAATGTTCTGCAAAAGGACTTCACCCTATAGTTCAGCATGATGGCGCAGAGTTTTTTAAAAAACTGAGGTTTACGAACAGGGCTAAAAGCTAAAATCATGGTACGAGGTAAAATTAAATTATTCACTGCAAAGTACCACTACTTACCTTCACTGTTCAAAAAAGATGAATCTAGTTTTTGTTCACTAAATATTATGACTAGGTGACGTCAGCCGCCACCCGATCTAAAGTGTACAGTCGGTCGGTCGGTCGGTCGGTCTGTCCACCGGTCCATCCATCCTACTACAACATGCGCTCCACACACACGATCTTTGGCGCTTTCTGCATCGAAAACTGGACGGCTTGTTCCTCCGACAGTTAGCGCTGAGCATTTTCGTACGATCACACTGACCTTCACTAACCTTTGGTATTTGAAAGAAGCTGCTTCTTTCTACCACATCTGTCGCTACATTATAGCAGCCGACAACTGCGCATATAACCACACTGGTGCAAGAAACTCGCCAGTGCAACGAGGTAGCAAAGATGCAACCGCTGTTCACCAGTATGGCCGATTCGCTTCGAGCAGTGACGTCGAGTGACGTAGCTGCAACTAATGGGTGCAGGGATGGGCCTCCGAATGGCCTGTGTGGAGGACGGTGACTGCCAGGACGAGGCGAACCTGGTGTGCGGCTCGGACGGCTTCGACCGCGTCTGCCTCTGCGACAGCGGCTACGTGGAAGAAGGCAGCGGCTGCTCGGAGAGCCCCGCGCAGCCCGGAGAGCCGTGCGACGGCCGCATGCGCTGCGCCAAGCGCACCAACATGGTGTGCGACCAGTTCCTCAAGCCACCGCGCTGCGACTGCATGGCCGGCACGCTGTGGCAGGAGAACAAGTGCGTCGCCCTCTTTGGTACGCATCGATTTCGATTGACGAGACCGTTCGGCGAAGCTCTGGCATACAACGACAGCACCATGCTCGAAAGTAGACTTGCACTCTGGGCACTTTAGGATTCTGCCATGTGGTCGGCTCCGAGAGTGCCGCAGGCTGACGCCATTGCAGAAATTGGAATAGAGAGTGTGTCTAGAATACGGCTCCTGACTAGAAGCACTCCTTGCCAGGCTGATCAGTTCATTTCACAAAAAGGCGTCCGCCTCGGCGACTAGGGTGCTCGGCTGCTTACTCGATCCCAACGAAATGGTCCGAGTACTGTGTGATGTCACTGCACGTTAAAGCACACCAGATGGTGGGAATTTCCGAAGCCCTCGACTAGGGTATCTCTCATAATCATATCGTGGTTTTGAGACGTAAACCGCACTTACTATTACAATTTCACTAAAAGGTGAACATTTGCCGACGCAGTCTGCACTTTTCATAAGTGTGAGCCGTGTCTGAGTAAGATTCGGGTTATCGGCAGAAACAGGGAGACCACGGCTCGATAGTTGTAGGAAGAATTCCACATAGAGCACGTTTTTGTATCAGTAATACGTCGGTGTCTCTTGCAAGCAGAAAGCAAGTTCTTTTATCGCAGGTTGTTATTTGCGTTTGATATGTGCCTGGCTTGCAGCGCGAGTCTGTGCCTGTAAATTTGGATGCAGGATATAATAAACAGCCGAAAGTTTTTTCCTCACTCAAAAACAGTCATATGTTTGTGGCTTGTACAGGCCCCTGGCTAGATAACTTGTGCCACCAGAGCTACCCTCTGGACGAGCACTCTTGTAATATAGCAGTAAATAGAAGTCATCAATCGGGTGCCGCGTCTACGCACTAATAACTACAGGTCATAATCATCATCATCAGCCTGACCACGCCCACTGCAGGGCGAAGGCCTCTCCCATGATTCGCGAATCAACCCAGTTTTTTACTTGCTGTTGCCACGTTATACCTGCGAAATTTTTAATCTCATCGGCCCACCTAACTTTCTGTCTTCCCTTCGTACGTTTGCCTTCTCTGAGAATCCAGCCAGTTACTTTCAATGACTCGCTGTTATCCTGTCTACGCGCTAAGTACCCGGCCCATGTCCATTTGTTCTTTTTGATTTTAACTATGATATCCTTATACCCGGTTTGTTCCCTGACCAACTCGGCTCTCTTTTTGTCTCTTAAGGTAGGTCACCACCTTCGAAAAACAATTTTTTTGAAAAAGTATTTTTTAAATCCATATTGTTAAATTTCCTGTCTATTCTAGAATATTTAGCACAAAGAATTATTTTGATAGCCCAATGAAAACACAATATTCGTTGGATATCCGAAACAATTCAAAAACATCCGCGTACATCAACGAACCTGTGATGGATAGCAAATGGACATTCGTTACTGTTTGAGTTTATAATTTCTTACAAGGTATATCCTAAAGATATCCTTCTTAGACGTCCGTAAAAAATGTAGTTCTGTACACATTTTGCGTTCTCAACCTGCTTTGGCAATTCTGGCTGTGGCTTGGCGCCCATGGCACACAATATAAAACCAGACACATTTTGCTTCACTCATAGATGGATCATTGAGTAAAGAAAAAAAAAGTGAGGGAAATATAAATATCGAAAAAATGAATAAACAATAACGACGAGGTATATTTTAAGCATACAGATTATGTATTTATTTGAAATTTCACGTCTTGAAAACGGGAAAGTTGTGCGCGTTAGTGAATGACAAAAATTTCGATCAACTCTGTCTAAACACCGCACCATTTCGTAGGTCATTTAAAACCTGAAACATTGCAAAAAAATGCAAGGGTTACTTGCTTTTAGTAAATAACTCATAAGATTTTTGTTGTTAAGTAAAACATATGAACTTCGCACTTACTAAACATTAGCAAAATAATTTGTCATAGTTGTGTTGTTTCGCCTTTTTTATTCTAAGCAGCTGTGTGCGCGCGAGTGACGCGCGTAATTCCTACCCCATTCATGGCCCGAGTTCCGTGGTTTAGCTTCTGTACAGCGATACTGTGGACGTTGAGAACTCTGAAAGGTCTCAGAGCGGATACAGAGGTAAGTTAATCATCTTCCAACTTGTGGTACACTGTTTACAATGCACCAAAACGGGATACCGGCAGGTGTTTCGTGGGCCTGTTCGTTTCGGTGCCATGGTAGAGGTGTTGCAGCCAGCGTCTCGATATTGTCGCTCTCCACAGGCTCTTCGGCTGTTGTCAAGTAGTAGGTGTTCTCTGCTGTTGTAAAAAATTCATCTGGAATTTCTGTTTTGTTCCGTTTGGCGTTGCAAGGTTCTGTTAGGCGTTGCATATCTCAGTTGCCCGACCTTGGGGCGGTTGTTGCCAGACTGTCGCCAGATTTGGCAGAGAATTTTGCCCCTGTAGTGACTTCATCGTGAGGGCTTCATATCATCCGTGGTGCATGTCGCCTGCCGTGCATTTCCCGAGTGCGTGTGCAATGAACTGGTTCGTGCGTGCGACGTTGGCCGTTTTAATTAACGGAATGAACCGCGTGTTGCAGAGTTCGGGGCGCGTTCTCTTGCTGTGTGCGCAGCTGTGCAAATAAGAGATCATGTCTCAGTATTAGGGACGCCGCGTATGAATGCTTAAGGGGAAGCGAATTTGTGAGCCGCGCTTTATTATACGTCGCACTCGTGTCGCCGAAGCAAGGAATATCTCGGTAGCGGTGCGTACCTATAGTCGAATGCGCACAACGACGCATCTTCTGGGGAAACTGAATAGAGTCGCAGCAGGCGGTGCGCTTCCCTGTTCTGATCGTGTCCAACGATCATATCTCAGAAGTAGGCCCTCTGCAAAGCTGATCGTGCCGCGTCGACCACGCGCTACGACGGGGACGCTATACGTTTCCCCTAGCTGTGTCAGCACAAGACATACCGTTTGGACTCAATTCAGTTTCCTCCGAAAACGCGTCGTTGTGCGCAGTCGACTAGGTACGCACAGCTACGGAGATATTCCGTGCTTTGGCGACGCGGCTCCCAAAATCACTTCCCCGCATTCATACGCGTCGTCCCTAATACTGATCGAGACACGATCTCTTAATTACACAGCTGCGCACACAGCAAGAGAATGCACCCCGACTTCTACAACGCTCGGTTCATTTCGTTAATTAAAACCGCCAACGTCGCACACGCACTCGCGAACAAGTTCATCGCACACACACTCGCGAAATGCACGGCAGACGATGCGTCGTTTCCCTAACTCTGAGACACGATATCTTACTTTCACAGCTGCGCACACAGAAAGAGAAGGCGTCCCGACTTCTGCAACGCGTTCCGGTAATTAAAACGGCCAACGTCACTCACGCACTCGCGAAATGCATCGCGGATCACACAAAGCCCTCACGGAGAACTCACAACTGAAAGGACATAATTTTTCGCCAAATTTGGCAACAGTCTGACAACACTAACCACTTAAGTCTGGCAACAGTTTATGCAACGCCAAACAGAACCTCGACGAATAATACGTGTGCAGCTATCATTGCGGCGAAAAAGTGTTCCATGCTCTTGATTGTGGTGTAGGTTAGATCACGTTTTGGCCGTAGACAGCTGTCTTCAGCCAAATGTTGTGAGGGTACTGTTTCTGTCAAGTAGTGGATAAAGTTGCACAAATTAATAAGCCTCAAACTGCTGCGACTTTCAGGGCACAATCCTATAATGACAAACAGGCGTGCGGATCTAAATCATTTAAAAATTTTAGCTCTGAAATTCATTTGTGTAATTTTCTGGCTGGATAAATTTATGTACTAACATGTCACTTCTCTGTGCAAAAGTTGTGTTTTGTTGCTATTACAGAAAACACGTTGGAAAAAGTTTGGTGATTTGAGCTTGCCAGACACGGTCGAGAGAATGAAAAGAGACGTGCTTTCAGATAAGCTGGCTACAAATTACATTTGACTTGGTGCCAAAGGGAAATTGCACTTCAGAAGACAGAATACTGCCAAACCCTGCTTGGTATGATTCTTTCTGCAGTTCTTTATTTCTTCAAAGAAATCTCTCTATCACCCATTGCATTGTTGCAGGCATATTATTTGGACAGCATATTTAACTGCTCATCAGACATAGGAACCAGAGTGCTTTGTCACTCAGTAGTTTTGACATTTGACTTGCAGAGAAAGCTCATACATCAGTAAATCGGACAAGTTGGTTGTTGAGACAAATGCTTGTTGTTCATCTGCTGTTCTTGCACTGTTTTTATGATCGAGAGAAAGTACAGTGGAAATTTTCAAGCAAAATAGGATGCATGAGACACATCATTCTCTCTCTCTCTCTCTCTCTCTCTCTATATATATATATATATATATATATATATATATATATATATATATATATATATATATATATATATATATATATATATATATATATATATATATATATATATATATATATATATTGTACCGAAGCATAGTGGCGCCAGCTCTGTGCCAGCGTGAAAGAAGACGTTGACGTCCGTGTGTGGCTCGTGCTTGCCGGGTTCCTGCCTGTACCAGCTTGTTGCGGCTAACGTTTCTGGAATAATAACCTGTGTTTTTACGCAACCTTGCTCGTTGCATTTGGTGGAAACGTGCTGGGTAACGTCCTGGAGCTCCGCAGCCGTAAGCTACCATCTCAGTCCGCGATGACCGAGCGCGTCGATCCCCCACAAGGTTCTTCCACGCTGCCACCTGTCATGTGTTCTGGTGTACTTCGTCCGCGTGACCCACCAGTATACAACGGCACTGAAGATCAAGATGTCGAGGACTGGCTGGCAGAGTACGAGCATGCCAGCGCGATTAACAAGTGGGATGACCCTGCGAAGCTGATTCACGTCATCTTCTACTTGACGGATTTGGCCAACCTATGGTTTACCAACCACCAAGCCGACATCCCCACCTGGTCGGTTTTCAAAGAGGCCGTCACCTCGTTTTTCGGTCGTCCAGCCATGCGTAAGCTTCGCGCTGAACTGGGACTGCGGGGACGATTTCAGCGAAATGGTGAGAGCTTCACGAGCTACATTGAGGATGTGATCAGCCTCTGAGGCGAGTTGATGCCAGGATGACGGAGGCTGACAGAATAAAGAACAT